TATTTTTTTTGTGTAATATAGTCTGATTCCTAACACTAATAATTTCCATTTAAAGCATTTTTTTTCTCGATTCAGGAGAGCTGAATGTTTATTTGCTCAGAAGCTTTATATTCCAATCTAATTTTATGTATGGCCACTTTATACTCTTGACATTTATAAATACATCATCACTGGTGATATAAACACCAAGAGGTACATGAAGCTAAAGGACAACCATGGGCCCTGTCATCTGTGCCTTTCTAGATTGCGCAATTAATTCTTTTAGTTATCCTTTTGCAATTCAGTCTTTCTACTTCCCTGATTGCCCTGGCAGCCTTTCCAATCTACCAGTTCCAGGCTGAATTCATCTTTTGTGAACACAGGTGATAAGAAATGCCCACACTATTCCAGATGTGCTTGTACTGGTATATACTGGTCTGATATTCACTGGACACACATCTTCTGATGCATTGTTCCAGAGCTGTATTTGCTTCATATGATATCAGTGCTGGATGGCTCCTATACTGAATATCATGTACAGGTCCTTCTTGTTTCATTTGTCAACACTTTGCTCAGGCCTTCAAGTTACTGATTCTTTTGTGTTATTCCTACCCTTTTCTGTGCAGTTGCCATCTCCTAACTTGGAGCATTAGGTGTGAGGAGGATGCTTGTGGACACTGAGTAAAGGTTGCTGATGGAAATACTAAGCCTGATCCTAATGCATCATCTTCATGAACCTGGTAGAAACCTTCCTTTGCTGGGCTGGTTGTCGAGTTGTACTTGGTGGGTAATCCCTACACCTTGTCCAGTTTCACTCCCTTCTTAATTTTCCTATGTTAATACTCATTTGGAAGGGCAAATGCTTGGTCCTCTATTCTCAGTGTGTGAGCTTGGTAATTATGGATTAAATAATTGTATTTTGAGTCTGGAGGTGATAACAGGGCTGTGCCCAAATAAGACATGCAAGATTGATTGCCAGTGGTTGGGCAGGTGCTGGGGGCAGCCATGGTTCCAGCCCTTCCTCCATAGCCAGAAATGCCCCATCTAAATCATGGGTACCACTGGCAGCAAGCTAAGCTGAGGAAGATGGAGAAAACGAGGGAAATGGATGAAGAATGCCATTTCTGTCTTCCATGATATTGCCAAAGCCTGTGATACAGAGCAATGCCATTAGTTGCTCTCTGTTTGCTGAAAGATTGCTCAAGTCTATTGCTCTTTTCTATCCTGAGATTATTCCTGGTGATTAGCTGCTTTGTTGCAGAGAAAAAGTAGATAGGCTGCAACTTCCAACTCTAAGCCCATTTGTAATATGGAAGACAACACGAGGATAATTTAATTTAGCTTTTTTATTTTCCTTTATCTTGGCTGGTGGCAGTGCACAGGGGGGCTGCAGTTGGGGCTGCGGCCAGGCATCCTGTGGCACTGGGGAGTGGGTGATGACTGTGATGGGTGCAGGAGCTGTGGGAAGGCAGCACAGAGCCATGGGTTGGCTTTATGGTAAAGCTGTAGGTTAAGAGATGGGTGGTGTGCACCAGCTGCCCCCCATTTGGCTGCTTTTTGCCATGCCATGCCATGCACAGGCAGCGTGAGCAGGGATGCGTGCTCCGGGCAGGCAGCTCTGTCCTTCCCCTCCAAGCCCATCTCATCCAGAGCCACTCGGTCTGGGGAGCGTTCGCCTCTTTGTTTATCATAAGGATGAATAAATTGTGCTGCCTGACTAAAAGCGTATTAATTTTAAGTAAATGGGAATCTGAAGTGTGTCTGGGCTTCTTCAGGAGGCAGTGGCTGTTAAACAGAGATGTCACATCACATGCGTGGAGTTTATTTTGCACAGAGCTTGGGGGAACCGAAATACAAAGAGAAAGATGACAACTATTCTTAACTACTTGGCCAACAAGTCCTTGCATGATATTGTGAAACAAAAAAAGTTGTAGAAGTACATTGCAGATGAAAAATGTGTAAGCAACACAAAAGTCACTGACAGATAACATCTACCCGTCTTGCTATTTGTACAAAGTGTCTTTTATATTCCTGAAAAAAAAAAAAAAGAAAAAAAAAAGAAAAAAAGAAAAAAAAAAGAAAAAAAAGAATAAAGGGCTCTACACCAGCTTGTGGGCTGCTCGTGGATCAAAAACATTACCTTCAGTGCAGGCTGAAAATAGAAAACAGATAGACCCGACTGTGAAGTTTTCCATGTGAACAAGTGGGAGACGAGCTTGCACCAGGAGGAACCAGGCAGAATTTCACTGAAATGGAAAATAAGTAGGTGAGGAAGAAGGTGCATGTGACACAAAAGATGGGAAGCCTGGGTCCAATAAAAGCCTCTAATAATGCAGATGGTCTGATTTTCTTCCCCTCTCATGACACGTTACTGAAATTTGAATTCTCTGATTTCCCTTATTACACTATTTATATTGCTGCAATACCAAGAGTCCTGGTAGAGAAGAAGCCTCCTTATTAAAGTAATGCAAACAACTCTAATGGCTGCAGTTTCAAAGGAATCTTAATGAAAACGGGTAAAAGAAACAAAGAGTGGCAGAGAGGAAATACCAGCACATCCATGCATGTGAAGAACCTGTGGCACTGGGAGCTCATGTGAAGTGACCAAGGAGATCGAAACCCTCTGTAGGCATGGACCTCCCTTTCCATCCTCCTTTCCATCCCATCACACTCTTCTCCTGGAAGCTCTCTGGGAGGGCTGCCCTGACACTCTGTGACAGGTGGCCAATAACCAGCAGAGGACTGGAAGTGTTTTGTTCATCCAGGAACTGATGAAGTGTCCCTCTCTGGGACAATTTTGGTGTTTCTCACTTGGGCTGAGGCAAGGACCATGTGTGCCAAGGGCATTGCTTCAACTCTTCAAGGCTGCCAGCAGCCATCCCACCTTTCTACCGAATCTGAAGCCCAAACCACAGCTCAGATTTGGGGCTGCTCTGGGACTGCACGCCAGTTTCTCCCATTTTTTTCAAGGCTTCAAATTCAACCTCTATGACTATTTAATTTTTAGCCTGTCTCTATTAAGTCTGTCAGGTTTTGTTTGTTTGTTTGTTTCCTTTTCCTGACTTTGAGTCTTTCTCTACCTAAGTCTCATGACTGTGTCCTATTGTTCTGCTGGTCTGGTGGCCCATTAGATGCTGTCATCTTTCCCATCTCAGATAGATATGTGGGAGTCATTCATCATCAGCTGTGATCCCCTGTTTTTTTCAAGGCATTCCTTGAAGCTTTGCAATCAGACTTCAGAATCCTACATAAAGGATTTACTTTGTTTTTTATCTTCCTCCTGTTTTTATATTGAAAAACTGATCTAAAGTTTGCCTGTCTGTTATACAGATTGCTCAATTTTGTAGTCTTTCTGAAATATGTGTAGCATGTTAATGTAATGACCTTACATTAAAAATGAAAAAAAATAAAAAATCACTATTTCATTTACAAAAGAAACTGTAACTTGTCCTCACACTGAGGACATCTGGGAGTTGAGCAAATGCATAACGTTGGGCATATGCTTAAGGGCTTTCCAGAAGGAGGCCACACCAGTCGGACGCAGTGCATTCTCTGCCTTTGCAGGAAGCTGTGATTTTTATCACACGCAATAATTTAAATAAAAACATTCAGATAAGCAGCAAAATGTTTGGCTGAAGGAAAGCATCTAGACAGAAACTGATCTCATATTTTCTAAAGGCTACAGCTTCAGAAGAGTTTGCGAGCCCTAAAGCTTGTCTGTTCTGCTTCTCCCGAATAAATTATCTTTCCCAATAAAGATATTACTGCTGCCTATAAACCTGTCTTGATGTCTGTCTCCAGACTATCAACACTTCTACACAATATGCATTTTCCAGTGTGCCCATAAATAAGCATGTGTGTAAGATTAAATTTGCTCATTGTAACCTTGCTTCTTTATGCACCACAAGCATCACTTTGTCATGTAAGTGATCCCAAATAATAGAAATAGGAGGGGCAATACTGAGCTGCACTTTGTGTAGATACGATTCCCTTTTCATGTGATATTTTCATCACAGTGGCACTTTCTGGACCATGCTGTATAAGAAGGGAGTAACGCATCTGTGCACAAGCGCTGGTCTCTCCCTTTTCCTTTTTTCTTTTGTTTTGGGCAATGTAGGGATATTAATGCTTTGCAGAATTAAGAGGAAAGGCAACTTGCACATAGAGGAGTACAAGAAAGACTTTGATGCCTCCTGGTATCTGGCTGCATCTCCACTGTAAGGCTGTGGAAGTGATGCAGACAGCATGTCTGTGGGAGGAGAAGTATGCTCAGAGGGGTTCTTAATACTTAGACTGCACTGAGCTTTCAGAGTGCAAATCCTGTAAAATAATACAAGGACCTGAGTCATTCAATTCATATAGCTGAGACTGCTCTAGTGAGCCAAGAAGAGGAAAAGAAATCAGGGACAGAGCCAAACTTTTCTCATTTCTCTGCGATATGCTTCATAAATTTCTCTTCTGTGAGGGGAGCTTCGTGTCTCATCATCAGAATAAAGAGCAGTGAGGTTTCGTGCAGTCTCAATAGTTATTAATTAAACCCTCCAGGGCAGGTGAGGAGGTATCCCATAGCCCTACACAGGGGTGAGCCCCGTTGTCTGCAGGGTTTGGAGCATCACTTCCCAGTTCTGGCACTACATCCTCCTAGACCCCTGTCACCTGGGCTTTGCTGAGAGCAGGGTGAGAACCCTTTATTTGCAGGAAGACCCACATTGCAAGCAGCTTTCCTCTCCCCAATATACTTGATCTTTTAATCTTAGCCTTCTGCTGGTGTTTTAGGGAAAGTATATTTTTAAAAGCATGCTTGAAAATACAGGAATCATTTTTAGAGCACCTGTGAAGGCTCAGCTCTTATCTTCATGGGGTCTGAGTGCTCCAGAGGGCTCAGCATGTTGGTTGGTGTGGCAAACCCCGCCAGCATTTTGACTTTCCCATGGCTCCTGGAAACCAGCCATATTTTCTCTTCTAGATTCATCCTCAATACCATTTCCAGGTCTTGTACTAGAGTTTTTGGTTTTGTTTTGTTTGTTTGTTGGCTGGTTGGTTGTTTTTTAGGACTCTGCTCTGAGAGGCACAATACCATTAGTCTGTTTAGTGAGAGGAGAAATGGTTGATAAATGTTGCATGCAAATAGCTTTTTGACGTTGTAGTATGAATCGAAGTAATTTGACTGTGTGGGAGTAGAGCATTATTTCAGTGAGAGGTTATATTCTCTTCCAGACTTTTTTCTTTTTTTCCAATATGAGTGTGCTTCCTTGATGTTATTGGATTCTCGATATTTCATGACCTCCTGGCATGTCCATACAGAAATGCTGAGGCCACTAAGATAAGTAAAATTCAGTCTTTTGTTGTACTCAGTTCAGACTTGTTCAAATGGAGTGCAACCACATATTTCCATGTTTAGCAGAGTTAAGATGGTGTGTTAAAAAGTGTTTAATACCTAGGATTAAGTCTGGTAAATCTATCATGTACAATAAGCTTGGAGCTTTCAGGAACCTGAAGCAGGGTTGTTATATCTGTGCTGTGGCTCAGACTCACAAAACGTGTGGACCCACTGCAGAAATGGGAAGGACATAAGGGTTAGTCTGGGATCATTATTGGTTCTTCAGAGCACACATTATGCAATGACAGAGTTCATTCATCCTAGGGGTATTAGGTCTCCAGTTGCACCCCATGGACACTGCCCTCCTTTCTGACATCGCTGCTTTGGATTGGAGCCAGTGTGCCTGAACCTGGGAAGAGAGATGGGGAGAAGAGACCCAGGAGAAGGGACTTGAGGGAGTGGAATGAATAATGAATGAATTTCTTACCTTAATTACTGGAAAATAGACCTGATAAAGTCTTATCTCATTTAAATCCCTGCAGCTTGCTCACTCTTAATGATGACACTGAAATGACAACCACATAACACATTCCCCCTTGTTGTCATCTTCAATGAAAATAAATAAATAAATAAATCATTGATGTCATTATTAATATAACACTTCAAATGGCTGGTGCCAATACCTGTCCACATTTTTGACTCAAATAGTGAGACCCAGCTCCTGGTCATTGCATCCTGGTATCTCTGCTCCTCACCTTGTCCTGTGTTTGTGCGGTGCTGAGCACCGTAGTTTCAGAATGGGACTCTTAACAATAAAAAAATAACTTAATAAAAAGAGGTGAGAGTAATATATGAAAATGCCTGCATGAATAATAGCAACTTTTGCATATCTCAAGGTATATAGAACAAGAATTACCTATATAGTTTTAAAACTGATTTTCAGATGCTGCATGGAATTGTTTGCTGTTACCCTCATCAGCTGCTCACTGTCTCTTCTGTGTGGTATTTGAGTTGCTGATATAGAAATGCAACCTCTGATCAAAATGGAAACAACCAACACACACCCCTTCCTGAACCCCAGATCTCTTACAAAGTTGTGTAGGTTTGGGCAATGGTTGTGTGAGCCCACAATGTTTTAACGTCTAATGCTTCTTCCGAATTATTTCCTTTTAAAGTATGCTGCCAGGTCCCTTAAATGACAAGGTTCGCATTGTCAGATGCTGCTCCCTACTAACCACAAAGTGCTTCCCCCTGTTCCAGGTGAGAACTGTGGAAAGCAAATTGGAGTCCTCAAAACAGCTGACGCCAAAGGACCCACCAAAAGATTATGAGATAACATCTCCCGTCCTTTTGAATGGAGAAAAGTGGAGACCAGCAAACAACATTTATTCAGAGGTTAGTCTTTGTTTTGCCTGTTATTTTATTCTGAGGTGTATTCTGAGCTTTGGGGGAAATTAATGTGCTTAATTCATCATAGCTATTACAAGCATATTTTTTATATTTTACTAGAGGATCTGCTACTCAACAATTTTTACTTTCCTAACTTAACAAAATGAAGGAGGTCTTTGAAATTAATATTTTGTTGTTGTTGTTTGTTTTTATACTGTAAAATTGCATTCTTATTTCAGATTGCAGAAATGGAAGGAAAATCATATTTTTAATGAATTTAACATACATTGCTTGAGATTGTATAATACAACAACAAAGTAGCCACCAAAATGAGGGAGAATAATCTACCACTGGTTTTGACTGAACAGAGATGGTGTCCCCATCTTGACAGACCCTGATAAGCTTTCCTCCTTCTTTTCCTCAGCCATTGGCTGGTGCTATGGGTGGCTGATTTTAGGAGAAAAGGCCTGCTTTCTGTCTCCAGAGCCTCCTCTTCAAGTTTGGAAGACAAGTTGTCATTGCTTTTATTATCACCGAGGATGTCATGGGAATCCCTTACCCAACATTTCCAAACCAGCTTTTTAGACCCACTGTTGTTCTGGCTTCTTTTATATATATATTTTCTAGTAAGTGTGAGGAGAGAAAAGTTAAATTTTCAAGCAGTCAAAATGCTAACTAAAAAAAAAAAAGACACCATCATAGAAACCATGAAAACAGCCTGAAGAGCCCATTAGAAACAACTTTCTTTATAACATCAGGAAAATGTTTCACTAGAGAAATCCTCTTGGCTACTGCCACTGTCTGAGGGACACAGCTTTGAGTTGTGAGGCTGACAGACAGAAGTAGGTGTGAAAAGACATTTCAGACAATGGGTCTGACTTTCAAAAACTGTTTTCTGGGTGAAAATTTTGCTTCCTTATTCTTTTTCACCCTTCTAAATGGGAGAGAAAGGCCAGTCCCTGGTTTGAATATCTGCAGTGATGAAAGGGATATCATTGTGGATATATAATAGCTTATCTTAGAGAGATAACACAGATGGCTTGGTCCTAGATGTATGTGCAACTCTATTTTTAGATCATTTAATTAGAAACAGGCATTTTCCTTACAAAGTTCGTCTAGCTACTCGCTGTAGCTTTCTGAAAGACTTACAACAGAGTATCTTTATGTGAGTAATGATAATATGATTTATATCATTAATTTGTTTCCCAGAATTGCTTTGAGTTTAAGATGAACATTAGAAAAGATTTGTGGTTTGGTAGAAAGATCCACGTGCTGTATCAGCACTTTTTTTTTCTTTGAATACTTCTTTTCCATGGAAACTGTTATAAATTAAATGCATAGAAGTGCAGATCAGGCTGTGGGAAGAACAACAGCATTAAACTGGTAGAGAAGAGTAATGAATAGCTTGTCACATAAATATTGATCAAAAGCATAAAAGCTAAATACTGTTGAATTCAATGGTTAAGTAGGACCTATTGTTCTTCAGCTCATTTCAAAGTGTTCCCCTATTTTATTTTAATTTTAATGCAGTAAAAATAAAAAGTACAAAGTACTTGTAACCAGGGGAATGGTATTGCAATAGAATATATAGTAAAATAAATAATGTAGTGGTTATAAAAATGCCAAAGTATTAAAGTTATTTGTGTATAGATAATTGCCTCGCAATGAAAGCCCTATTCTCCAATCCTCTGGTCGTAAATACTCTTGCTTAACAATTAGAAACCATGCTAGTCATTTAGTGTAGCATACACTTTCTTTGTGATCTTAAGGATAAAAACATCCTTTTATTTACATCAGGAGTCACTGCAATATCTGTTGGGATATCTCATTCACAGTGCGTCATGAATTGTTATTAAGATAATGACTTTCTTCTTGAGGGCCTTCTATGCAGTACACTGTGCAGAACAGAAGCAAAAAAAAAACATATTTCTGCTGACACTAGTCCCGCTGACTAGTCACACAAACACAGTCTTGTTCACTAGCAAGATTAAAATGTAGTTTATTAAAGGAAAAGGGGGGAAAAAGTTACTTATCTGTAACCTAGTTTTATTTTAATACACTTAGTATATACTTTTTCAAGGACATCTAATCATACATAATGATATAGGTACTATCTAAACACGATGGTTAAAATTAATGGCAGGAAAAATCCAATTTTAAAATCAGACATGTAATCAAATTATATTTAAAGAATTTGGGTTTTCCCAAGTATAAATGCAGTGCTTTGTTTCAAGAGAGAACCTATCATTTGTTGGGCAGACTGCTTTTTTTTCTTTTTTCTTTTTGTTCCCCTCAGCCCTCTCAAACTGTAATTACAAGAAGCCAAGATCAGGATTTTAGTGTGGTAGTATTAGTTCAGAAGTGCTATCTTTTTCTTTCCAGTTTGGAAAGGAGTGTATGTTCATGCAAACACTTCATATAGCGATGTGCATTTAAAAAATATGTGTAATTAATAGAATGTACTAGGGAAATACATACAGGTTTTTCCAACTGTACTACTCTGTTCATGTAGTTGATGGTTGCTAACTCTTCTGGCATCCTTTGATGATGTCAGAAAATTTTGATAATTTTCAGTTGGACTATTCGAATGGTGCTCAGTGACATTCTTTTGTTAACTAGATATAATGTTCTGTTGCTAATTCTGAACACGCTGCTAAAATTAGTGGCTACTATTTGGAGTATCCAGTTGTTGCTAGTCAGGACTACTGATGAGTAACTATTTGTGGGTGTGTGACTGCACAATCAGGACCCTGAAGTGTTGTGCAAGGTCGCTGTGTGCTTTCAAACAATAGCTGTCCATATTCTATGCAGATGTGATTTCCGTCTTCTCTGAAACTTTGTGTGCAATATAAAAGGTGTTGATAGATCATTATACTAAATGCCTAGTTCCAGTTCACTTCCCATTTCTCTCTTTCATCTGTTCATAGTTCTGTGTTTACTGTCAACTCTTTTCACAGTGCTTGGTCTAAACCCAAAAGGGTTGGGTTCTGGTTTTCTTATTTATTTCTAAGGTTTGAACAATTTCTTTTTCAATTTTATATTATTTGAATGCAGAAAAAAAAAAAGAAAGAAAGAAAGAAAAAACTATTTTCCCCACTTGTTCCAGACTGAACATTTTTCTTCAAACTTGGCTCAAGACTTAAAAATCAAGCCAAGTTTGATGAGAGTTGGGTAAGTGATGTTTTAGTACACAGAACACTTTAGGGAAGATTTTTAGAGGACCATCTGTTTGGCTTCAGCTTTTATCCTCACACCCTGTTAGGGACACACACTGGTTAATGTGTGCCAGATCCCACTATCACAGGAGCTGTAGGTCAGGTAATAGTGCTCGCCTTAGACCAGAGCTTGAAGCACGTTCCTTCTCTTTGAGACACAAGAGCTAGGTGGGAAGTATTTTACATGGGCATTAAGGGCTTTTTGGTTTCACTTCTACACTTAAAAGGTTATAACTGTGGGAAGTGGTGTCTGCCCAGTATCTGAGACCTTCCAGGGCAGATGTGAAATCGTTGTAATGCTGAGAGGCATCCCAGGGTGGCATTGCCTGGAGCTGATATTTGTTCTCCTGGAGCAACATCTTGTTGTGGAACTTGGCACTCTCTCCTCTAACCAGGGCTCCATCCAGATCTTAAAATGCATGAAGTTTCTGGGAAATTGAAGGCATTTTGTGCCTTCAATGAAACAATTTCATGAAACAATTGATTATACAGGTAAATGTAGAGTCTTGAGGTCATACTAAATTAGCACAGATCTTTTCTCCTCAGTTTGGTGTCATCTGTCACTCAAGTGTAGTTTTTTTCTCTGGTGGTGGCCATGCAGCATCAGTAATATCATTGCTGGCACCTGCAAGGACTGAAAGATGATCACAATGTTGATTCTTGCAGGATTTAGTCCTCTGAAGTTTCCAAAAGCTTACAAGCAAGTTAGGTGCACCTCTCCTTACTGGATGATGCTTTGCATCTTTCAGTGCTTATGCACATACTTCTGTAATTCTTTGTGTCTCTCTGAGTGCAATATTAGACTGCTCCATACACACATGTATGCTCCAATCAGGCTATGATTACAATTCAGAAAGATCACTTTGAACGCAGCTGAAGCTGGGCAGGTATTGAAGGACCCATAGCCATGCAGCATGCAGCTGAGTGTGGTTTCTGAAAAGCCCCGTATGAAGCTAGAGAGCCCTGAAATCCTTTAGGTTGCTTTGAATTTGCAATTTGTCAGTCCAGGTTGCTTTCAAATAGTGCAGAGAAATAGTTTTTTTAGTATTAAATTTGGTCACATATTGGGGACAATGAGCACATTTTAGTCTGCAACTTCTTAAAAATAATTAGCAACAGGACACTATATGCACATGATGTACCTGTCAATGGATTAGACTCCTAATCTGCTTGTATCATAGTGAGTCTCACCTGTCTCTTTTTTTAAAGTACTATCACTGATCTCAATTAACAAAGGGTATATTGGAAAAGCAACTTCTCCCCAAGCTTGCAGTCAGACCTCTTATTGGGCAGTGGCTTCCCACACACCAGCACCTTCTGGTCTGTTGCTACTGGGGTTAGAGACAAGCAAGAGAAGAAGATGCCAGTGATGGGCAAAGGATGGGGAGAGCTGCCGAGGGTTTCCTGTTGAAGAACAGCTGTGTTCAACACTCACAACTTTTAAATCCAAATATATCAGAAATTCATTTTACCTTGGGGAGAAAGGGGAGGGAAAAATGGGTTCAGGGAAGGCTAAAACTGCTTCGCCAAGCCAGAGATTTCAAGGCCAGATTCTGAGCTAGTGTGACTCAGTTTTCTTCCTTTGGCTGGGCTGCTTTAAATCAGGTTTGTGGATTGAAACCTTAAAGAGTTTTCAAAAATGGAGAT